TTTTTTTTTTTTGATCCACATAGTTTAAATGTGCTGTGGAAGTTTATAGGTTCAAGTGTGCAGTGAGATAAAAAAGGTTGAAAAACACTGGGCTTGAGTATCTTCTACATCCTTTTTGCAGTTGGTATGATAAATTCTATTTGGTAGGTTGGTAAGATGGGCCCTGCTCTCCAGGTGTGAGCAATTACTGGAGACTGCTTATTGTGGGATCACTGAGGTGAAGGCCCCACCCTTATCTTTTTTCCCTAGGAAAGCCAATTTCTAGCTATGTACCTAACAAATTAAGATTTTTGCCCTAATCACTTATTTGGGTCCACACCTCAGGAGTAGATAAGCCTTGTGCTGTGCGTGGGGCCTGCTACCAGAGGACACACCAGGGCACAATGAGTCACTGGGTGGCAAAGTGGCAGAGGCTCTAGGAGCACCTAGGAGAGTACAGTGCCGAAAAGTCTCCTCCTTGGTACAGGAGAAAATATACATGCTTCACAATCTTGCCTCTCAAATTCTTGGACCAGAGGGACTGTGGTTGGGCCCAACTCCATGTTTCCTTAGTTATCACAATCAGCACCTACCTGATCAGTCAGGTCAGAGGCCCAAATTTGGCCCCAGGTGGCTCCCAGAATCCAAGTTTAACTCCTCCTGCTGTGTCTTTAGTGCCCTCTACTGGCTCTCTTGGACCATAGCATCTATTTATTTCTTAAGCATTTATTGTGTATTTATTATAAATGCTTTTACACTTGAGTCTATAAATATGGCAAGGTCTTTTTTTAAATTTTTGTCTCTTGTGCAAAGTCTTATTTTGAGGTACTAATGGGTTTCTTTCCCACTAAATAGTATAACAATTCTAACTTGGGTGGTGATAGTACTTTTGCTCTCATTCTGAAGTAGGAAAGCTGTAACTGAGCAACTAAGGACTTGATCCCTGATCCCACAGCCTTTTTTCCACAAAGCATAAAGCAGTGATGGTCCTGAAGGAGCTCAGGAAATTTCACTCCAAAATATGACTACTTGGTATAAAGACTATTTTAAATTAAGTCCCTTAGGGATTAATAGGCCCTTGAAAGAGGCTTTTCCTCTATCCCACATAACCTGGACTGACCTACTCAAAAGATCAAAGGGAAAAATTAAATTCCCTTCCTCTTCCTGTTAACTCAATACATTGCAGGATAGAAGATCAAGAATGTGAGCAGACCTGGTCCAAATCATTTTGAGAGAGGATATCCAGGAAAAGTGAGGTCTGAGAGAACAGAGGTCTTCTCATGGAGGCCCAAAGAACACACTTGGAAGATCCTCCCTGCGGTGACTCAGGTCTTAGGAATTTATAGAAACTTAACTTTCTGGGACCTGGAAGCTAATGCTTGCTTGCTTCTGCTTCTCTAAGAGTACCTGTGGACAAAGAGCCCTTGACTAGAGATAAAAGGGAAAAGACAGAGCCAGTAGGGGAGTGTGGCAATTTTGGACTCTAGTCTGCCATGGCTTTGCCAGCTAGAATAAAGCCCTTCATTCACATATTGGTGTTCAGGTGTTCTTTCTCTCCATCCAGCCTTGTCTTCCTGCAATATTTCAAAACATAACACCTGGCTGGGCATGGTGGCTCACGCTTGTAATCTTAGCACGTGGAGAGGCAGAGGCAGGTGCATTTCCTGAGCTCAGAAGTTTGACACCAGCCTGAGCAAGAGTGAGACCCTGTCTCTACTAAGAATAGAAAAACTAGCCAGGCCTTGTAGTGGGTACCTGTAGTCCCCACTACTTGGGAGGCTGAGGCAAGAGAATCACTTGAGCCCCAGAGTTTGAGGTAGCTGTGAGTCAGGACACCATGGCATTCTACCCAAGGTAACAGAGAGAAACTGTTTTGTTTTTTATCTTAAATGAAACATAACACATGTCAAGTTAATTTATAGTTAACCTGTTTCCCTTATCCATTTATTCCACTGTTTTTTAACCTTTTTTATCTTTCAGCACACTTTAATCTATAGTTAAACTTCTTTGGCACACTTAAATTATGTTGATCAAACAAAAAGTGCAAAAAAAATATACTTACTGTGCTTTGAACTTCTTTTTTTTTTTTTTTCCTTTTCTTTTTTTTATTGAACGGTAACTATGTACATTAATGCACTTCTGGGGTACAGTGTGGGGTTTTCACATGCAATCTGAAATACTTCCATCAACTGGTCAACACAGCCTTCAT